AGAGTGAGAACTTAGAGAAAGATTTTGAAATAAGTGAAAAAACTTGGCAATTGATTGGGTATAAATGATCAAGAAACTGAAGGATAGGGTGACTCCTAGGTTTCTAAAACCTAGAAGATGATGAGATTAGAATACTAGCAGCTCATATGGGCTGTATGCCTACTATGTGCCAGACCTCTGCCAAGCACATTGCCTATCGCCTCATTAAATTCTTACGACATCTCTTTGAGCATGCTGTGTTTTACCAAGGGTGTGTCTGAAAGCTGTTATCTTTTAGCGAAAGAAAAACATCCTTGTTTCCACTCCAAGACAAGATTAAACTCAACTGGACTCACTGGGCTGTGATGGCCGTACTTGGGACCCGAGTCCCAGGGCGATGGTTTCCTGTTCTTGTGTGTTCGGATGTATCACAATGCCAGCCAGGAGGTAACCGAGCTGGACCTCTGGTGGTTATATTTGCAAATCCAGTACTGCCAAGGTGTTGAATAATACCTCTAAGTACCTGACCTGTCATTAAAATAGGCTGCACTAAGTGGATGCTTTTGCTTTGGCCCTGGTCTTAAAGGTAGTCAGTCAGGCAATCAAAAGACATAACAATGCTTACCTCTTTAGTGATTCTTTAAAAATCAGAGTCTAAGTATTAAATGACTATTAGTAGAAATAAAGCATTTATGTATACTATACTATTTAGAATTTTTTTTTAAAAAAATTTAATTTCCAGAGAGCACATGTGCTTGCGAGAGAAAGAGAAACAGGAGAGGTAGAGGGAGATAGCGCCCCCTGGTGGGATGTGGTCCTACTATGAGCCCTTGTCTTCACATCTCCATCCTTGAGATTTGGGGCACAAACATGCTCATGACTGGAGTGTTTTTCAGGCCACTGGAACCAATATTTGAACACCAATCAGCCATGTGGTATCCTATACCTTTAACTACTAGGCTATGGGGGTGGCCCAAGATTAAAATTCTTAAATATAACTGCATTTCTTCTTGATTGATACTTGTTAGTTTTATTTGCTTGTTACCAACCATGTCCAATAAAACTGGTTTTTCCCTTAGGTTAATCAGTTTACATCCTGAATTTCTTTTGGTGCCCACGGTTTGTCTGAGACTCTTACTATTCACATCTCCCCCAGCCTTCAAAGCGCTCTCTCTCTCTCTCTCTCTCCTTTTTTTTTTTTTTTTTTTTTGAGTGGTCTTTTGTATAGTGTGGTTGC